ACAAGAATGGTCTTTCCGAAAGAAGGATTACTGCATGATGTCACGGCATGGGAACGCGCTTTATTAATAATCCCCACCTCCTTGCGTGGAGTATTAGTGGGTTCAGTCTCTCACTACGAGTACCGCGAGACTCCTCCTTCCTCGCGGCGCGCGCGCGCCCTCACCCGGACTGACCACCCGTGTGGCGCACCACTCTGCCTTTACGCGACCTGTTTCTGAGATTTCCGTTCAGATTAGTAAATGCCCAATTATGTCTTATCAAGTCCCGAGGGTCAATAAATATGAAGCACAGTGTTTACTCCGATTAAGCTCCCAAGTGCCAGATGGAGATTATGGGACAGTTCAATTCTAGTTTTGGCCAGAAATAGGGACCAGTTGTTGAATTTGGATCACACGGCGAGCCTCCTGGGAATGCAAAGAATAGATGAGGGAGGTAAATCCTCAGAATGTCTGAGAGCCCTAAAACAGGAAGGAGGAGAACAAGAACTGATAGGAGAAGAATGAAAATCTGTGGGTGGAAGAGTTGAGCATGAGGTGACCCCCACACGTGGCGGCTCTAACTATGCGATCTCGGTGTAGACAATTGTATCATGCACTGACAGAAAGCGGTACAGAAATAGGCAATGGCTGGGGAATGACGAGGCCACGAGCCTCTGTGACGAACTCTACCTCCTCGACCTAGAGGCACAGAAACCCAAAACCCACGGATGGGGTAGCGTCCGTGAAGAATCTCATGGAGTCTGGAGGAGTGAACGCGAGGTCGTCCGTAGAAGACGAACCGTGACCGCATTCCAGTGCGCGAGCAGGACGGACCAGAACCGCAGCGTTCTGAGCAGTCAGCTTCATCTAAGAAAGACATGGTCTTGGAGGTTTTCCTGCCGGCGACGCTGTATCCAGGGCCGACGGGAAATAAAAGAGCGGCCCCGTGGAGGGATTAACTACGCATGGCCGAAGTGAGGTGCCCGAGCAAGGGAGAGCAGCTGCTGTTGGTGACTAACTTGTTGTAAGTTTTAGATTGGCTATTCGCGAGGTGAATAGGATCGGTTTGTGAATCACTTCGCGAAGATGCTAAATTACACTGACACATGTTATGTCCCGGGGGAGAGATGCCATTCCTATCGAGCGAACAGAGATTATTTCGCGAGATATAGCTGTAAATAAAAGCACAAAAACTCTCTATGCCATTTGGGTGGTGGGACCCACTTATCCACCGTTTTCTCTCGCTGAGAGGGGAACACCTAACTCCCTGAAAGCATAGTTTTAGAGTTTTGCTAGCAGAGAGCGCCTGAGTTGTCCTCGAGGGAGATCTATGAGGGAGGAAAATCATCCAATAGGGTCAAGGACGGAGGGGATTCTGACAATGTTCAGGAGGATACAGCAGAGGGCTTCGGAAAAATAATTAAAGATGAAGGGCTTTACTTCTGCACCCGAAGGTTAAACGGACAGCGAAGTAGAATTTGGACTCCCACGAGCTGTGATACCCGAGAAACATATATGCCACTGAGATAGGTGGAATGGGAAATATATCGTATGAACTCGCGCATCAGTAGGATTTGATAGGCTTGGAGCTTCAAGTGCTCCTAATGACCCTAGGCGAAATAGGTTTGATGAGTCATGATGGCAATGCTAGTCTACACCTAAGCCAGATAATAAAGAACAATGTAAAAATTATCTCTAGCTGGGGGGAATAAGCGACATATTGATTGTGCATCTCCTACTGTCAAACAACAGAGGCTCTATCGAACTACCCGAGATGCAAGGGAACATAGATCCAACATGTATCCTTTAATTACTATACTCAGTTATTTCAGCTTCGTCTGTTGATAGGGCGACCAATACGCGTGACCGAACTTGGGCTTGTCCGGAACACTGGGAACGGAGAGGAGTGGAAAGGTTACGATTAAAGTATCCTTTGTTGAGCCTCTTTTCTGATGAGATGAGAGACTATGGGTGGGTTCTTTGGCGGCTGACTGCAGGTTTTTAGGCCACGTCACAGTACCGCTCGAGGAGGGGAGAAAGGACCCCTGCCCTGAAGCCTCTCGAACACGGGATTTGGGTAGTCGAAAGCGCAGCTGCTAAGTGTGTGGGTGTTAATGGAGTCGAGGGGTGATGTTTTAAAAGGTTTTTCCACCACGTTGATTCCTGCGCGGAAAGGGAGGACGTGCGCCTGAGGCAAACTGACCTCAAAAGGTGAGCCAATCCCCCTGCAGGTACTGCAAATATGAAAATGAGGGTCAGGAACACACGTTCTCGTTAAAAGAAACGCACAATCTATTATCCCTTGTTTGACACCTGACGTGTTTGGTTACTATTCCCAGAGACTGCGTGGGGAAAATACGCCAGACCCGAGAGAGGAACACATGAGGGCAGAGCGGAGAGGTGCGGCCCTGCGTTCCGCAGCTAATGCGCGAGACGATCTGTTGCCCTGCCGGTTAGCCATAACGAGCAGCTCGGTATCCACCACGGGACCATGTCCAGGTCGGATGGTTACCAATGAGCTAAGTGTAGCGCTGCTTTGCTAGAGAAGCTTTTTTAAATGGTATTGATAAAAAAACACAGATTTCCCGTATTTCGATGATGAGATCGCCGATCATGCGCCAGATAAGCATCTAACCCACTCTTCTTCAGGGTAAACTGGCGCAGAGAGCTCTCGGAAGATGGCTAAAAGCTACCAGAAATTGCACTATAGAAGGTCTTGAGGATGCCGGGGGTCGCAGATTTAAATACCGCAGTAAGCTTCCTGCCGGTGCGATGGCTCTTGTTCACACTCCGGGGAAGGCCAGAATAAGGCTGACCAAATTAATGTCTTTCCCCGCGGAGGATTTTCCGCTCTGAGCCCGTGAGGAGATGTTAGCGGTCTTGGGGATGTAGGGCCTACCTGAGGGAGGAGCCGGACGGCGGAAGCCAGAGGAGTGAGGTGGAACTACCGTGCCAAATACAAACATCCTGGACCCGGCCGGGCCGCCGAAGAGGTGAGCTTCCGGCCTGGCCTCTCTCCATGGACTAAAAGGCGAGCGTCGATGCAGCATGAGAATTTGCCAGAGATTGCAGTGTGTTGACTAGGCTGCCATCTGAAGACGGGCTGAAGTGCCGGTAGCTCCCGGCTGAGCGGCGCTGCGGCTGGGCGGCGCTGGGATGCTGAGCGGCCGCTGGGCCTGCTGGAGCGCGCTGGAGTGAGAGCCTGAAGAGTGGAAGGATTTCTTGGCCGATGCGAGCTCCATGGAGGACTCGCTTTTTAGACCTTTTGCCTCCGGCGGCCGCAAGAGCGCCCTCGCCCTCTTCCCGGGGGGGCGCTGGCTAGAGCTGCTGCCTGGGCTGGGAGACCGCACCGGAGCTTGATCCGACAGCTCCACGGAGCGGGAAAGTAGGAGATCTGGGTGTGATGTCCCTGCTTGCGGAGATGGGCGACGAGGAATTCTGCCTCTGCTGTGCGAGAGCCGCTGCGGGCGCTCAGACGAGAACTGAGGCGACAGTGACTTGAGGAGTTTAACACTTCCTCTGGAAGTGCATCGGAATCGGGATCAAGATCCTTCGAAAAAAGTAAGTTCTCTGAAGAGTCTGAATTAGACATGTTTGAGGTTTTTCGTATCAAGTTTTTAGGCGTAAGAGGAGTGTAAGCTACCAACTTGCGCGTTGACACCTGGAAGACAGCTGATGGAAAAGGGGAGAGCATATATAGAGGGATTAACAGGTGCGATAATTAGGCTTGTGAATGGAGGGAAGTGATAGGTTAGCTGAGGAGTGGCGCTCCCTATCATTTAGTGAAGGGAGCGAGTATTGCCATGACGTGCAATACGAAATGATAGGTCTTCCTGCCTGAACTTGTGCTGAGCTTCATTAGTCTTACCTTAGCTGTTGTTCTGATCAAAAGTTGTGTTCAATGGCATCAAAACGATAAAAACGCTGCTGAAGGTTAATCCAATGTGTCTATGTCACTTTGAAATGATTACTGATAATCCATCTTCATATTTACTAGTTTGAGCCTAGGTTTCAGTTTTCAGTTGTCTGAGAGTAACATAGCTTTCGACTGCGTGTGCGTCACTCTCACTCCTCATTGGTAACGTGTGTGTGTATGTGGAACTTCCCCTTCAATTCTATTGGCTCTAACGGTTCAAAAGAGATGTCAATCACCAAAATCGACGAATGGGTCCCAGAGAAACGGCAAATCCACCCAAATGACCCCAAAGGTGGGGTTTTCTTTTGCTAAACCTCTCTAAAAAGGTCTCGTTTTGCATCAATCTTGATACAGGGTACTTATATGTTATAGTTTGGATTCCTAAAGCTTTTAGTCTACTATTCCATCATTCAAGGGTGGTTTTCACTATAAGTAATGGTTTTGGAAGGAAACTATAATTTACATTTTTTTTAACTATGTTCAATCTGAATTTACTTTAAAATAAAAACATCTATATTGATTCTGACTTTTCTACAGCCAACACACAGGTTTATAATTGCTTTGAAGAAAAAGATTATTAATTTACCACTTTTAGAAGTGAAGTCATGGTAATTTGTTCTGGGAATGTCATTTTCGAGCCTGAGGCTTGAAAAACAGGCTTGGGGTTTAACAGGTTAAATAATCTGTGGAGATTGTTTGAGCAGACCCTTATCCCCTCAGTCATCAGGGCCTATGTAGTGCTTCATAACTTCTGCCCCACACTAGGAGACATCTTTGAATCCATCAAGGATGTTTCTACGTCCAGCGGCGAACAACACTGTATGTGCACCCTGTGGAGTTGCAAGAACAGGTTTTTTGGGGACAATGTCAACCACTCTTTACTATAAACTGTGTGCCATGAAGCCCCTTTGGTGTTAGTTATGTATGGTGTACTACTAAATTGACTCTAAGTTTGAGGTTTGTAAAGGGATTTGAGAGAATACCATTGTTTATTATGTTACACCTTTAATCAACACTAATCACGATTTGAATACTGATTCAACACAACAACACATCAACTAAAAGGTCTCCTATCATGCAAAGTGCACTTTTGTATGTCTTTTATATATAAATGTGTCCCCGGTGTGTAAGGGAACTCACAAAGTGTCAGAAAATACAACCTTCTCTCTTTTCCTCCGTACCCAAATAAAAACTAAAACGGGGGTTCAACGGAGCTGATCCAGATTTTCTACCGATATGACGGGCTGGCGTTACGCCCCCTATCAGAAACGTGCCTATCAGATACAATGTGCTTTGGAAGTAATATGGTCTTTGTTTACATTAGCAAGCATTGCTAACACTCAGAACTAAGCTGTATTGGAAAGAGGCATATGTGTAAGAAGCAGGAAATAAAAAAAGGAACTCACCTTGTAGTAAACCCGCAAGAGAAAAAACATTTGAGCTCCACACTATTTCCGAAATAATCCTTGATGTCGTTTGGAACATGATATGGCATTTAATCAAGGCAACATTTAGCTATAACTATCTCTCTGCAGCTCAGATCTTGCATGCATGCTCCAAAGGGGGCGGGGCCAGCAGCTACTGACCCATAATCAGCACTTCTCTAACAGGGCTGAAACAGAGGGATATGAGGGATGTCTAAAGTACATGATCCGTCTATTTTCAGCAAAACACATCATAGACATGTTTTTTTATTGGTATATATCTGAGACCAATAATATATGCCTACAAATAGCATAATAGGAGTAAAATGTTCTTTGATGGTTTCCGACTTTTTCCCTACATGCATGGCCACCATGCAGCAGCTGCCCCAGCAGCAGAAGAAAGGGAGCCACCACCACTGGGTGCCATGTCAGCCAAAGGCTTATTCCTCTCCCAACACATGGGTCCATTAGAACAGGGGGCTTAACAGTAAGCAGCCTCCCGATTGCCTCACAAGTCTTTTTATCTGGCATGAGGCTACCGATTTGACTAGACTCTCACACATGTGATAACACCATCAGCCATCACTGGTTTGATGTCCTGTCTGATCGAACAAAACAAAAAATGTCTTTGTAAGGAAAATATGTTTGATGTATACAGAAAAAGAACAGGATCATCGTTTGTTTGACTGGGCTGCCTACCAGGGACGTTCATAATTTTATTCGTCTCTTATCGCTGACCTTCACTGTCACTGTTTTAATCAAAAGACCTCAGCCAAATGTGGTTTTACTGGGAGACAACCCCTTTTAGGTTGTCTGAAGTACTTTTTTCAGCAATTTCTTTTATGCATCTTTTTCACACTCACAGCCCTGCAGTGCGTCCATCGATCATCTTTTATGCTAGAGTACAGGCCGCAGGTATGGGTTTTCTCTTTCTATAGAGGGAAACCGCACCATATTTGAGGTCATGACAAAAAAGTTGGCATAAAGTGGGAGTCTCATATTCACAACAAAAGTGGGTGTCCATTACAAAGAGCTCTGGGAAAGCAAACCTTATCTATCGTCGGTGTCTGCAGCCTCATCACCACTTCCATTGGGATTTTTTATTCCCAGAATCCTATATTAATAACTTCATGACTAATAATGCCTGAGGGAACGGCTGACTGTGTGAGGTTTGTTTATTTCTCAGACAAAGTTGTCTTGCTGGAGAAAAGTTGAAATGTGAGCCTGCCAGAGTTTATTTAGTCATGTCTCATAGCTGGTATACCATCACTCAGTCTTAATAAGTATCTCATCCGCTGTCAATCTTCCTTCCACTCTGTAACAAGGAATTAAGTGATATCTGCTGGATAGTGTAATAAGGTGTCAGAATGCAATTAAACGCTCCTCTGGACAGCTATCAAATGCAATCACATCTCCACATCATTACATTAACTGTCATGTATGCTATTTCTTCATAAAGGTGCCAACCCTTTTTAATGTAATTCCACACCTGATCAGTCTGGCATAAATTACATTGGAATATTTGGAATTATTGCAGGAATGTCTTAAGACATACTTTTATAATTGGCTTCACTAAAAGTAGCACTAGCACAATGTAGTAAATCATTAAAAACGTTACATAAAGCTTCACAAGTAATATTGTTTTTTATCAACAATCGATCAAATTACTTTTTTTTTTATCACATTAGGAATCATCATGCAACTTAGCAGTTCCCATCCTCAATGTGTCAGTCCTGACCTGTCTCTGTGTTGTCCCGCCTGTTTGATAACCTGATTCTATTCACCTGATGGCCTTTCGTTTTTTTCCTTCCCCCTGCGTCTTGTCATTATGATTACCTCTGCATGTATTTAAGTTCATTTTTTTGTCAATATTTGTCAGACCGGGGTTGTTTGTTTTTTGGCTTGCCCAAATCATTCTGACAAATTATTTGGTTTCCTGCTTGTGGGTCCTGTCGGCTTTGCTCTCCAGTGTGAATGTTTTAGTATCACTCTGTGCAACTTTTAGTGTTTTGATTCAGCCTTACCACTCAACAGTAGACAGAACAAGTAAGCAAATGTGGAGCATTTAGCAGCTAAACAGACATATCTAATATCCTCAGGAGTCAACATTCATCAGGTGGCCGAAGATACGACTACAATGATTGATACAGTTGTTCGAACATCGTTTGGATGTGTAAATGAGCATCTAGCCTTTTGACATTGAGCTATATAAGTTAATGTACAGAAGCATCAGATGAAACAATCAAGATATCAAAAACCTTGATGTCCTGTGAACATTTATACCCAACCAATCCATTGTTTGCTATTTTACGGCGTGTAACCCGCTTGGGCTTCCTTTTGCACTTCTTCTTCTTAGTCCCTTTTGACCCAGGCAACCACTAAAATCAAGTAAGTGGCGGGCTTTCTTACTTCATAAATTATATTCCTGTTTTGATGCAAGTATCTAAACCAAAAAAAAGACAATAATAACAGCAAACAACAGCAAGAGCTTTACAAATTTGGTCACCCACACATTTGTTTTTCAGGCATTTATTATGGCAACATATCTCTACATGTAAAGTATGTGATCACAGCCTTCATCCGCAAAATAGGTTGGTATGATCATCAGGTAATTGAAGTGAATAAAAACCTGAAGTGCACGTTCTTTAAAATCGACACCACTATAAAAGTCAAGGATCACTAATGTTTTTGAAATTTTTTACTTGGTTACCTACTGTTTTATAATTATTTAATTGATATAAAGAGGTATTATTTGTATTGATTTGGTACAGTGTTTCCCTTATAACACAGAGTTCTCCCTCACAGATATCCTGTTTAATCTCTAACTTCTGGCAAGTTTTTAGTGATCAGGGGAAGAGATTTATACTTATGACGGATAGACTTCCTCTCCTGTGATGCACCTCCAGATTCCTTTTCCTGCAGGGAGATGTTCACTTGGCAAATATCCAATCATCTTGCGGCTGGTGTTGCACCAACACCTCACCACCTCAATTGATTATTCTTTCATCAGCGTCAACTCCTCACCTACTAAAAGTATGTTGAAGCCCAAGGAATGCTGCAATTCTTTTGGCAATGAAATCCCCTCTGTTGGCCGATGGTATCTCTCTCTTTGAACTAGCAACTTGGGATGCTTTTATCTCCGTACAACTAAAACTAAAATCTCCCTTTCGAATGTTATTATCAACAAACACACATTCCAAATAATTGAAGTCCCTTTTTTTGTTTTAAACTTGTCCTTGTACAACTGCCAAACCAAGTACATCAAACGCTTGACAGTTCATATATCTGATTATAAGCAAGCTTGAAAACATTAGGTGTCTGAATGTACCCACAAGAAGATAAAGAAAAAGTACTTGCTATGTAGTCTGGAAAAGAAAAAAAATAGACTGGTTTAAACTTTTCGAGTGACAGTGAAACAGCATTTGGACACCATATTGCTTCCTTAATTTCCCACATTTCCTATTGTAACAGATTGTTAGAGGTAATGCATTCAGCAGCTTAAATCAGCAGGATACCAGTTTGTCTGACAGAACAGTTGTTCAACAATGTGTGACAATTGGATTGAGTTTAATTAAATTAAACAACATTAGAGTTTCAGCCACAGCAGGCAGACACTTTTAGCAACAACAGAAAATAGAATACCCTGCACTCTACTAACCCAGCATCCAACAGCAGTACTAGTTTGCAACCAGGTGGTAAACAAGTGGAACAAGAGCCAGGAGTTTAATAAACCAACCGGAGAATGGAATGGAATTTCAAAGAAATAAAGACATTTCCAAATTAATAAAGTTGGTTGCTGACATGTTAACCCTAGGAACTTAAGAAGGTGAAACAAATCAATGTTTGCTTTTTAAGCTTGTTTCACAACCGTCAACTTTTTTCCTGTTAATAATGTGTACTTTTTGCTAAATGCTTGCAGTACTGGTCGACCAGATATTAGCTGATGGAGAAGAAGCATTAAAACCAGTTCCCTTATACAAAAATAAAACATATACTTGTTGTCAAAAGTGTACCTTTTTTTTCTGTTGAATATTTGTATGTTGTAAAAACTGAAATGTCCACATGCTCTTATGTTAATAGTCTTTATTTATTCTCATACTACCTATGCTGCATCACCTCTTTTCACCCTCTGATTGGTTAGAAGGCCGGCTCTGTTGTGATTGGTCAACCTCTTAGAGATATCCCGCCCCTTATCACGTACGATGTGTTGGCGTACTAGTGAATAGAAGTGCGGGTGTTACATAGTGATGTCACCATGTTACAGAAATCAACAAAGGAGTAGGAGGTGTGGGAGGTTGGGTGTTGGAGAGAAACTCCCTCTGGAGGGAACACAGGGATTTTAGCCTTTGCAGACCATTTACATAACACACTACAGGAAAGGGAAAACCCCCAAAAGCATAATACGGCCCCTTTAAAACTGTCATTCTAAAAATCTTACGACACAGTATCATGTCATTGCTACATTAAAAATGATTAGAGGCATTGTAGGTTTTTAAGGAATGTGTTGCATTCAAGAACATAACAGCCACCAGAAGATGAACCAGGCAAAACAACAACCATGAATCAACTAATCCGATAAAGGTTAATTAGCACTGCAACGGTTATAATATAAAAATAACACAAAAACATATTCATTTATTAACTGCAGGCCTCAAGCAGAATCAATTAATTTGATCCTGTTTTGGGCTGTCGAGACTCTCGCATTAATTATTGTGCGCAGGGGGATTCAATAAAATATCAAGCACTGTTGTGAAGTGGGGCCCTTCAACGTCAAACCGCTACATCTGTCATGTTGGTCATGGATTACACTTACATGGTATAACTGGTTTTCAATCAATATTTGCCTGACCTCGCCTTAACCTTGAACAGTTCTTGCACCATACACAAAGAAAGACCAGCAAAATTCAAACCTTAAACATGCAAAATAAATATTACTATCCAACGTTTGATTTTGATGGAAAGTAATTTGTTGCTTCATTTCGGAACTTTACGTCAAACAACAGAGAGGCCAGTATAATGAAGCTCAGCAGCACATCTGAAGCACAGCATGACGCATCCCGGCAGCGCAACCTTTTGTTCAATATTGTGTAAATGTCACTCAGTAAATAGAGCCGAGGAAGTGTGTGTAACCTTGAAACGTTTCTCTCGTCTGTAACGAAACGCCATCCGCCTCTGTGTCATCCAGCTGCTTG